CCCCAAAACCCCAAAACCCCAAAACCCCAAAACCCCAAAACCCCAAAACCCCATTATTGTATGGCTTCAGTGAAAAATTCTTAAATCAATAAAATAATATAATATTTAGAAAATGAGTGTTAAAAAGAGACTTCTCGAAGAAGATGGTGGTAAGCAAGCTGCTAACTAGGTGCAGATTTAAGAGAAATATAAGAGATTTCTGGTTACCTTAGTTTATAAAGGATCAAGAATCTTCTTAGAAGCCTTCATAGAAGTTCTTACATTTCTAAAATAGATATCAAACATTATTGCTTAAAGCCGTATTCTGAATAAATTTTGGTCACTAGTATTGATTTCTGAACGTGTTTTTCTCTTCCATATCGCTGTTATCGTACCTCACTGTCTTGAAAAGCTCCCGATTTGCCAAATATGCCAAAAGATGGTATCTTAAGTTGATTATTTCTTTCATTCAAACTGTACTGCACCCAAAAATATTTAAGCAATCCTTCTGATGCATTAAGATTCCTAATAAGCGGATGGCTTAGCTCAGTAATCTTTGTTAAGGCCCTGATATCTACTCTAAAATCTGAGTCCAGCCTGATTTGGCATGCAAACTCAGGTATAGATTTCATCCCTGAAGATCATTTTAAGAGAAATTTAGACCGGAATAGTACTCATTTAGGTCCACATTGGGATGATCGAGATTCGGTTTTTTGCACAATTTTTGGATAGATTTGACCCAAACCTTGACATATAGATCATTCCGGGCTCAATAACAACTCCTCATCAGTATTATTGGACGAAGACTTAGAAGGCACAGGTCAAGGCTTTGTCAGTCAGAACAAATCAGGTGAAGCGAAAGAAATTCAAGCTCCTACAAATACTTTCTGATATCAAGTCTCATGCCCTGTGAGGTTTCTGGGCAATCAGTTTAAACATGGAGGTGTAAAAGGGTCTATATTCTCCCTTATCACTGCTATTCTTGGGTCAGGGACTATCACATTGCCCTACCTTGCGTACAACAACGGAATCGGAACAGCCATAATTTTAATAATATTCGGAGCCATTCTCTCATATTTCTGTGGAATGCTACTAGTCAGCTGCGCAAATAAAGTAGGCTCAGACAAATACGAAGACTTTGCTGCCTTCTGCTTTGGAAGGAAAATGGTCCTTGTCACTGGCTGGTCTAATGTCTCCACTCTGCTAGGATTCGTGGTATCATATATAGTCTTCTTGAAGAATTTAGTTCCACATATTCTAAATGAGATCTTTGGCAGGGAAAATGTGCCTTCTTTATTAAATGATGGTACCATATACTCGTTCTTGATCCTTACTCCGTTATCAATGCCAAGGAAGATCGGAGCACTGAGGTTCAACTCAATGTTTGGAGTTTGTTGCAGTTTCTATTTGGTCATGTGCATTGTCTTCATGTTCTTTTTGGATAGAGGACTTGTCAAAGATATCGGAGCTGCATTCCGTGAGGCTCATTACTTCGATATTACTTGGAACGGAATGGTAGACGCTGTCCCATTCGTAGTGTTTGCTTTTATGTATCAACCTAACATTCCTATTATATACAGAGAACTTACTACTAAGAGTTATGGAAAAATGAACAAAATTGTAACCATAGGTTCTTCATTCGTAGTTGTTCTTTACATTTTGGCATCAATGTTTGGGTATTTAGGGCTGGTCGGAAGTCCTGAAGGACTGGAAACTCTCAAAAGGGAACAAAACATTCTTCAGGTTCATTACGATAACGTAGCTTTCACAGTCGCCATCATCGGTCTGATATTTGCTATCTTCGCAGCAGCTCCGATCTGAGTACTTCCAGCGAAGGATGCTTTTGAAGAAATTGTGTTCGCTAGGAATAAGATGAGCACTAAATGGAATGTCATCACTACCATCGTTATGTGCCTAATTTGTTACATCTGAGCTATTGTCATCCCAGGAATCGGAGATGTCATTACAATCTTGGGATGTACCACAAACCCACTGATAGGATTCATCCTTCCGATAGTGTTCTATCTCAAAATTGTGGAAGATGTGCCACTATGGAAAACCATTTGTTGCTGGCTTGTGCTGATTTTCATTATAGTTGTATCTATCGCCAGTTTTGTTCTGTTCGTTATCGATAAGGCCAAAGGCTAAAACCCGGTTATTTATATAAACTTTAGATGATTGGTCAACCTATCCTTTACTTCTAGGGGTTTTGGGGTTTTGGGGTTTTGGGGTTTTGGGG